GCTGCGGCTGACCGCCGTTGCTCGTCTGCGGATCATGTCCCACGATAGCTGAAAACGAAAAGACGTCCCTTGTAGTCGATCAGGTATTTTGCGTTATTTCCATTTCAATAAATCTCTGTGAACTTTCTCTGTGAATCTGAGTCGGAAAGATGCAACACTCTGAAAACTTTAATGACGAATTATTTTGCGAATTAAAATTGCTCTACTGTGTTGTTGACATTTATAGCAAAAAATGTACATCTTGAATTGTAATTAATTGAAGTACGTAGTGAAACATAATATTCTATTTAATGTAATTATCATTCATTTTTAATAAATTTAGTAATTATTAATTTATAAACTATATTTATCGCATACACTGACTGGTTTTTGATTCCTTATAATTCATAGAAGATGCAGTGTATTTTTAGCCAAGGTTACTATTATTTGTATCAAGTGCATTAAAACTAGCCTTGTTTACTCTTGCAGAAATAATATACCTCTTGCGAAATTATCCGATAAATCTATTTTATTCAAGTAATAATATCTGAAAAGTATTATCTGTTAGTTTTTTAGTTTATTTTCTTAAAGCGTTTTTTTTTAACCTTTATAATGCTTGACTTGAAGTTTCTTCAGTTGTGTTGAGAAAATCAAAGAATAAAGAACAATAGCAGAATTTTCATAAAATATATCTGTTCCGTTAAAGTTTCTGATCAAGTTTCTGTTAAAGAATAACAAACTTTTCCGCTGTTTAAAATAGTAACGGATCAATTAAATTGTTTTACGCAATAAGAAAGTTCAGGTTATTTACGGTCATAAGTTTAGCTACTTCATAAAACAGTATCAACTTGATTAAAGCTTTGTTTATTTTCTAAATAGCTCCCGGAAGGATAAGAACTTCTATAAGGAAAGGATATTAAAAGGCTGGAGGGTTGCAAACAACGCATTAACGTCAAAAATTTTTATTTCCATAAGCTCTTCAAATATTTGATCAGTCTTTCTCTGAATAAATACTGAATACAATATAAATAATAGGAATCAATAAAACAAGACATGGTATTGTGAACTGAGGAAAACTGTTCTCCGACTAACACCCGGTTTATCCCTTTATAGAATCGATTTAAGATAATAATATTTAGCAATTTAATTCCACTCGTCCTAATCACGTCCATTTACATAAAGCTAAAAGATTATATCAGTAGTGAAACTAAACAACAGAATCGACCGGTGAATTCGGGTCATCGGGTGATCGCTCGCGGAAGCCTTATTTTCATTCAGCGGTATCGCGGAGTTCCGGGAAACACCATTTGGAAAACATCACAATAGAGCATTGTGATTGACGTTTTATAGTACAATCGATACATCGTTATCGGGCGAAAGTTCGATAAATGCGCGAAACGAATCCACAGACTTCGCACAAAAGACGAAAATATTATGCACACAGGTGTCGAAGCTCAGACGTCGGAAAGCAGAGAAAGAGAGAAATATCTTTAGTTTCGACGAGTTATGCCAATTGTCGCGTTTTTACTCGTAGTGACCATTTTCGCATGTCTATAAAAAGGAGGAGGAGAAACGGTGACGAAATGTAGAAAGTGCTGCGAGACCGTGCGGACTTGTTATATATTCGGTTTGTGCCGGTTTCCTAAGTTTAGATGCCGTCCGGCGAGGAGAATTGGACCACGTGGTCTGCCCTCAAGCATAATTCGCGCGCGGTATTCACACACGCCGAGCTCGAAATAATTCCGGAGATACTGCCGCTTCTTATATAAACACGAGAGCTGTTACGCGAAAACTACTTTTGACTCTGATCTGTTCAGAGATTAACTACGATTAAAAATCATGTGACTTTTTTGCAGGAACATTTTATAATGAATATTTTGTACACATTGCAATTATTTGCGTTAATGTATTGAAATTTAAAAGTGTTTCGTCACGATTCTTTATTTCACTGCTAATTATGCGACGCGAGTGTGTATTTTTGTTATAATTTTATTCGAACTAAATTTTATTTAAGTCAAATATAGTTATCATTAAATATTAATTATAAACTATACGAAATAAAAAAATTTTTGTCACTGATCTCTTCAGATTTAGAATTCTTTTGATAAATTTTATTAAATTCACAATCCATATCGATAAAATTTGTGATACAGAATCCTCACGTGTTGTGTCCTGTGTGTTGATAATTATTTCATATAACATATTATGACACTTAAAATCGGATTATAATA